ATTTATATTTCACTATTTTTTGAAGAAATCTATCAAAGAGTTTTGGAACTCTCTTGAAGTTCTGCAACTGTGATGTGACAGTGGATGGATCTTCACCTGTAACAAGAACTGTCAGTTCTCAAAGTATTTGGTGTATGTGGTGAACAATTATCATCTTTATGTTCTAAAAGATGTAAATTTGAAATATTTTGAGCAGTTACATATCTTCCAACTGAAAGACTTTGGCAAATCTGATATAATAAAGTGATTATATTATTATTTATTTATTATATAATGAAGGTGATTATTGTTATTATTTACTATTGATAAAGAAGTATTCTTGGTAATGATGATTCTTGTAGTTGCAAATGCTACCAATAACAGGGTTATTAATGTGGAAACACCACATAGGGACTAACTCATTGTGTTTGCAAGTCTCAACCAACAAGTTGAAGTCATGATTAAGTTGGCAGCAAAAATCTTGATGAAACCCAAAGTTATGGAAAAGTAAAAGGTCAAGTACCATTTATTTGTGTCAAAAAATGATCTTACATAACAAGTAAACTTCATAGGCATTTTTGCATAATCAAATACACAAATATAGACAAAAGAAACCCTCTTTGATAATTTTATAAATACTTTTTTTTATTTCTTAATCAATCAGGTATTGAATATCCTCATCATTATACTTTTTATCACCTAGTGGTGCTCTTTTTTGTCTAGATGATGATTCTGTCATCACTGCTGGAATTGCTTTTGTAACATTTAAGAATTCTCGACAAATCTCCTCTGAATCTTTCCCTGTAATGTCCAATTCAACAATCTTTTCTCTGGTCTCTTCTTTTTCTTCATCTTCATATCATTCATATATATATAAGTAAGTACAAAAATCATTTAACTACTTTTAAAATTCTTTTTATTTCACCTAACAATTACTTACAAATATATTCCATTTTTATTAAGGATTTATCAGGTGATAGTGCTGATACCAATGATGATTCTACATTGATTTTTACTTTTGGATTATTATAAGCTATTCTAGGTAAATTTTCTCTCCAAAAAGTTCTTTCATTTTATAGTTTTTGAAAGAAAAAATCAAATTAAATATTTATATAAAATATGCATACATATATATTCATTCACATTTGCTCACTCACTCAACATTACCTTGTCTCCTTATCATTAATAGAATATACAAGTGTTATCTTTTGAATTTCTGATGATAGTTTTGCTGCTCCTAATCCTGTTCTTAAATCCAATATTGTTTCTGCTATTTTGGACAGTGAAGGAAGTCTTTTTATTGCTAATTTTGACATTTTAATAAAAAATTTTTGTCCTGAAATAGAAGATCGGCATCTTAAGTTCATCAGTTCACATAATGATCTTCGTGTACAAGATTAAATAGTTAGTTATTTTTTGAATGGCATTCATTAATATCAAGAAGATATGCTATTTGTTATCAGCCAGAGATTTTTTTTTATATAAAATAGCTAATTATCTTACTGAAATCAAATCATGGAGTAAAATCTATCATGTCTTTACATTAGTAATGAATGATTAATTGTATCATAATAATAAAAAATGATTGGTATATTTGTTATAAGGAGTGTCAATGGTGCACTATTGAAGACCTCTCTCTCACACATGGGGCATACTGCAACAAAACCAGACAAAGTGAACATTGGTATTACCAAGAATTTCAGGGATCAAAATTTGTAATGTGATTGTTAAAGTCTCCCATTTGTTTGTTATCTTTGTTTTTTCCTTAATATCAAAATAATTAATATGAAAATCATCTATATCAAATCTACTATGGAACCCAAGAATTATAGTACTATCAGAAGTAAAAATAAAAATTTCAACCAAAAATGTTAATTGACATTGTACCAGTTTAATTTTGTTGTTTTCTTACATTAAAAAAATTTATCTATAAATAAGAAAAACAATCATAAAAACTTGGTAAAAAACTCATGTGGCATATTTTAATTACATTTAAGTGTGTTTGTTGATATTAAAAATAAGTGTAAAAGAAAACACACAAATTGAATTTTTTAATAATTCTTAATTTTTTATTCTAAAGTTTATAATACTTAAAAAATACTTATTTTATACTATATAAATTTTAATTTTTATACAAGTGGAAAATAAGTATATTTTAAGTACACAATGTTTCTATTACTTTAAAAAATAAGGATGTTTTAATGATAAAATAAGTGTATCCAATCAATTTTTGTAAAAAATTAATGATCATCATTTTATGAAATGTATATATATACTTAAAATAACAGGAGAGAACGTCCTATATAAGGAATGGATTTTCACAATTGATTTCTATTTTTTTTATACAGTTTAAAATACTTTTACAAGGGTATCATGTAGCCCATTCTTACAATAAATCATGTGCAAATAA